AGAGCACATGAGAGGGGGGAGGGTCAGAGGGAGAAGCAGACTCCCTGCCGAGCAGGGAGCCCGATGTGGGACTCGATCCAGGGACTCCGGGATCACGACCTGAGCCGAAGGCAGTCGCTTAACCAACTGAGCCACCCAGGCGCCCCAGTCAATTTCTTCTTAAAAACTACTGTTACCTTAGAGTTACTGTTTTTATTATAAATTTTCAGGAATTTCCCTTTTATTTTTTTAGCATATTTTGAACATTCTTAAGATTATAAGGGTCATGATGTATATATATATATGTATGTATGTATATATATAATGTTTGAACACTATAGTTCTTCAGTATTTGTAAATTTGTTTTGTAGGGTTGGACCAAGTTTTATGAGTTTTCTTTATCAGATCTTCGGGCTGGGTACAGCATTATTGACAGGCTCTTTGATGGTAAGTTCTACTGGTAATTGTCATCTTTGGTATTCATGGGAAAATTTTTTGAGGTCTTACTAATAAAGTGGTTTCTTCAAGAGTGACTTCCTATCATAAAATGTGGTCTTTGCTTTTCATGTGTTTTATGTCCTGACTGCCATGCTTATGCTATTGGATAGTTCTTGATCTGTTGTGGTCATTTTTTATATGCCATAGTTTTCTGATTGATCTGTAGCTCTCAGGAGATAGAAAGCTTGAAAGACCTTATCTTCACTTTGTGGCCTTCCTAAGTTTCAGGCTTATGAGGAATAACTCAGATCTTGGAACTGTTCAAGTCCAGGAGTATGGTAGGCTAAGGTCAGTACTGTAGATCTATAGAATCTTAACTTAGATTAAGTTGGAGTCAAGAATCAAGGTACAAATAATAGATTGAAGTAGAACAACAGACAAGACCATGTGATCCGATAGGCGGAGGCCATCCAACTCTCTGCCTCCGCAAGCCAGGAGCAGTTGAATCTCTGAAATGTGTTGTCTAGGGCCTGGGCAAGGGGACACGAGAGTTGAGAGCAGTGGTGGATTGGAAGAGAGCATGTTGATTGGAATCTCAAACTTAAAAATGATTCCTGCCTCCCCATCCCACCCTGGGGCCCTGCCAGACCACCCTTCCCTGAGTCCGCCCCGCTTTGGTAAATGGAACCACCATTCACGTATCTGTTCAGGTTCAGAACCTATGAATCAGCCTGGATTCTTTTTTTTAAATTTTT